CCGGGTGGCGGCCCGGCCAGCGCCGCTCTAACCGCAGCGCCGCCGGCAGCCGTGCGCACCAAGATCCGGCGGGTACGCGCCGACCGACTGATCGCCAGCAGAGCGCGCATCTTCAAGCCACAGACGCCCAGCCGCGCCGAGCGGCGCGCGCTGCGCCGGCCCACCTTCCAGTGGGCGCACGACCCCGACTGCTGCCCGCAGCTGCAGCAGAAGGGCATCAAGTACCTGGTGATGGCGCGCCGCCAGGGCGACCAACTGGTACCCTACCTTCATCATGCCATGGAAAAAGTTGAAGGTTAGTTGCGAGGGGTCGCGTTGCGTGCGGTGGTCGCGGACGAAAGGTTCGTTCGAGCTGTGGGCTAGCGGCGGAGTGAAAGCAATGCCACGCGCATGAGATTCGTATGACGCGCGCTCGAAAAGCTGATACATCTGATAAACCGGCGGTCGGCGCCGGTCGGTTCATCAGACGTGTTGCGGTGCTCGAGCTGGACTGTCGGACGTTGTCTTTCTATCACTTCTTTTGTTTTAACTGATTTTTCCAGGGATTTCACTTTTGCCTATTGAAAATCCAGACCAGGTGCTGGTTTTGCAAGGCTGGATACCGATCAGCAGTTTCGCCACGCCGTTGAATAAGATCTGTCGGGCCTGTGAATGAAACGTTTACTTCTCTTAATCTAAAAAAAGGTTTAAAAGTCGGCCACCGGACTAAGGTCACCTGCTGGAATGATAGCGTGGTTGAAAACGTTTGGACATGTACTGGAACGCTCGCAGACCCCCGATCCCTATCTGTATGACCGTGTGAAAAAAGACCTCGTCCACTGATTCTGATCCGATGCCGTAGCTTGTCCACTGGCTTGGCCTGTGAGTTTCAACAGAAGAGCGTTCTAACGATTTCGCTCCTCTGTCCGAACCCGCCCATGTAATGACTCCTGCGTCTGTTCTCGTTCATATCAATCTTGTGTCGATCTCGCTCTTCAACTGTCGGTGTCCTGATCGAGCCGATCATATCACTCGCGTATCCCAGCTTGCAAGGAGTCTAACCGTCGTGCCCGATCTGGTTCCGTGGCCTGGCTAGTGCTCGCGGGCTGTGCGCCGGCTGTTTGCCGCGCGTCGGCCGCCGCCCTCTGACGGGGCCGGTGTGGGCGGCAGATCTCCTCGCCAGGTGCGTCGACTCCTGCAGCGGCTCGACTGCTCCGACACGCGTGCCGTCCAGGCGGCCATGCTGCCGCCAGCCGCCTCCGGGCGCCGGCGCGGCCAGCGGCGCCGCGGCCGGCCCGGCGGCCAGCGGCCCGCGGCCAGCGGGCCCGGTGGTCAGCGACCTGGCGGGCCAGCGGCCCGGCGGCCAGCGGCCCGGTGCCCAGCGGCCCGGTGGCAAGCGACCTGGAGGGCAGCGGTCCGGCGGCCAGCGACGCGGTCGGGCCGCGCGGCCGCCGGCGGCTGCGCAAACCGCCAGAAGCGGCCGGCGCCGGCCCAACGGCGGCCGCCGCCGCAAGGGTGGATCGGCGGCCGGCAACCGGCTCGCGCCGCCGCAAGACCAGCCCTGCGGCCGCAACAGCACGGCGCGGGCGCCGGCCGCCCCGTGAGGTGCGCCGGCCCGGGCGGGCCCTCCGGCGAGGAGTGCCGCCCGACGGGACGGCCGCGGCACGAGGCCGGCGGCGAGGCGTCCGGCAGGTGGCGGAGCCCGGCGCCGGCCGGAGGAGACACTCTGTCGCGCAGGACGGGCGCCCCAGAGGCCGGATCTGTGATAAGCCGCGCGGACCCGGCTGCGGCGAGGACGCGCGGCGGACGACCGAGGCGGGGCGGCGGCCCGCGGCTGGTGCGGTGGGCCACAAGCACGCCGCGTCTGATATTACGCGGGCCCGCCGCGCCCGTGACGCGCGCGACTTCCGCCGGGGAGTCAGGCCCCAGTGTCGGCCGCTGAGGTGGTCGAAGACTTTTAGCCAAGTAACCAAAGGGTTCTTAGAACCCCTCGAGGACATTGTGTGTGGATAGAAGTGGTATTTTCATCGCAAGCAATAGTCAAGAACGTTGGCAACTAAAAAGTCTGTGCTTACCCCAGTTTTACTATTGGATCAAACCGTCATATTTAGCCATGAGAGTTTGGTGCATGCTGTGTTTTCCGTTGTTGTATGTGGTTATGCTGGATGTTTAATCCTGTAAATAGTTGCAGTTTACTTCATCTCAAAGACGGTAGCGGGCAGCCAACTAGCGTCTCCCAACTACGCACTGTACATGTTTAACGTTTCTAGAATTCTCCATCTCTGCGATGCGTTCAATGTTTCGGTGTGTCGTCCGTGTCTGTGCCAAACAATATAGCTTTCAATCCTAAGCGGCCTCAACTAGAGCTCTCGTCGCAGCAGTCAATCCTCTCAGGATTTCGCTCCGAGTTGTCTACACACCACGGGGAAACAAAACGATATTGCGGCATATAATTCGTAACGACAGCATACACACGCGTTAAAAGTAACCACGGAAACAAGTTCGTTAGAACACCTGTTATTGGCCCCATTGACAACAACAAACAATGCCCGTATCTGCAAAAGGCCCTGCAACCATCAAAGCGCACACGAGATAATGTCATCACAGTGTTGCAGTCACAAACCTGTGACCTGGCCGTGGACGCGCTCGGGTCAGAACGTGGCCGGCTGCGCTGGAGATCATCCTCCACGACAGCCACTGGCCTGTAATGCGCTTCGTCAATCATGCCGGACACACGCACGCTGATCAACAAACCGCGTAACCCGCAGTACAAAAACACAGCCGCAACGTAACCAACCGTAAACAACCACAGTCGGCAGCGCTATCAGGCGCGCCTGGGCGGACGGGCTGGCCGCAACCGTCCCCGCCTCGCCACCTCTTCGCGCGCAAGGAACGGAATGTAGCCACCGCGCTCCGGAGCTGTTTCCGCACGACAGCTGAGGAGCCGGCGGCCAGTCTCGGGCCGGCTCAGCTGGCGGCCACCGTATCAACCGGTCACCAGGTCACCGGGTTATCGGTCACCAGGGTCGCCGGTCACCAGGTCACCGGTCTCGGGCCGGCTCAGCTGGCGGTCCCGGATCACCAGGTCACCGGGTCATTGGTCACCAGGTCGCCGGTCACCAGGTCACCGGTTCCAGGCAGGCACAGCTGGCCGACACAAGTCCACCGGTCACCATGGTCATCGGTCCCGGGGCCGGCCGAGCTGGCGGTCACCTGTCACCGGTTACCAGGGTCACACCTCTCCTCGAGCGTGAAGCCGCGGCCCAGCTGGCGGTCCTGGGCGCTGCGGAAGGCGGACAGCAGCAGCGGCCGCCGCTCGGGGCTCAGCAGCAGGGTGAGGCAAGCGCGCCTCGCCGCCCGCCGCCGACGCCTGCCGGCCCGGCTCTGCGCCCAGCTGCGCCGCTCCGTCCGCGCACGTACTCCGCCACGTACGTGTCCGCCTGCGGCCTGACACACGTGGCCAAGCGTGAGCACGCGAGGCGTAAGGCAGCCGTGAGCCAGCTGTCGACGGACGCCGCGTGATGGTACGTGGGCGATGGGGCTACGGCCAGGGGCTCGACTTGACAATTCGAACGAATGCCTGGCGGTTTCAGAATAATATGATCCGACGGATGTTGATCGGGTTCGGGATATGACTGAAAATTTTGAGCTGGCAGTTAGCAGGCTACATACACAACTCAGTATGTCATATTCGTTGACAAGCTCACAAAATAAAGACAAAAAACACGTCGAAGTGGAGCAGTCCTCGCGACAATATCACATAAAATTATTTTGTCCACTTGTATACGTGCATTTGTTATACCCATCGGGTGTGAAGCTGTTAAAAATACATTATCACGACTACAAACGTTTATAAAAGTAATTATAACGAGACCACAGGCACCCTCCAGTTCGCCAGCAGGCACACCGCGAAGCGCCGCCCCGAACTAGTGGCCGTACCCGAGTCCTGAGAGGGCGGAGGAGGGCAGAGGCGAGCCGAGCGGGCCGGACCGCCGACACACCGCCACCTCGGTGGGGTCCGTCTGCGAGCCGCACAGCTCCGTCTCGGTCAGCCGGAACACGGCGCTCCAGCTGGCGGCCGACTCCAGCTCGGCGTCGGCCAGCAGCCGCAGGTCCTGCCGCCCGCACGCGTCCGTCAGTCGCCGTCCGGCCGCGTCTGCGCACGCGCCCGCCGGCCGGCGCACGCTGCACGGCTTCAGTTGTCGGCGCGCGCCTCACAGTACCGAATCGTTAGCGCAGCCGACTATGAACTCAAGGGAATGCTTCACATTTGGAGACATTGAAGAAAATATCAGATATAATGCAACAAGTAAAATATTCCTCAACGCGACATGGTTTGATTACGTCATCGTACCTTGCGCAACATTTATTGAGAGCCCATTGACGGCCGTTGTATCTGGGAATCGCGCTCGCGAACGCCAGGATAAACGTCTCGACAACTATATTTTCCTAAGCCTTGACCGCCGCATGGCTCATGGAAAGGCAGAATATGAATGCCGTCATTATGACGCCATGAATGCCAAGGTGACTTTGAAATGCTCTCCCCGATATACCTTTCCCCATTTTTCGCGGGCGTGTAGCTCAGAAACTAGACGGGCGTATGTCTCAAGAAGGGTAGGATTGTGAACAGCACAGAAAGGTCTTCAAGATGGCTTTTTCAGTTCAAAACACGTATCAATGTGAGTCACTCCTTTTAGGGCAGTGTGCGGGAGATGGAGTCACGGCAGTGTCCTGCGCCCCGGGTAAGTCCAGCTTGTGCGCCCAATCCCGCGGCGCCGCGAGCGATGCTGACCTGCGAGGTGAGCACGACTGTGACGGCCCGGAAGACGCCGCCGTCCGTCAGCTGGGTGGCATCGGTGACGACCAGCACGGCACACTCCGGCAGCAGGTGCACCGCGTGCCAGAGCGCCGCCGCCGGACACTGGCTCACCGGCCAGCGACGCTCGGGCTGGCGCCTCTGGCGGCCCCGCGGCGTACTGTCAGTGCACACGCACGAACACAGAGGGCTCTGGACTCTGGGATCACGGCACCACTGTCTGGTGAGTCGCAGACACGCGTCCGACGAGGCGCAGCCGCAGTATGCGGGACAAGTCAGGCGCGCGGCCAGCGAAGTCGGCGGTCGGCGCCACGATGGGTCGCTGTCGCTCGCACACAAACCCCTCGCAAGCGCAGCTCCAATGAGCCCATATTAGCTGCAACAAGGCAAACGTCACACTATTCCGGGGCATACTCTGCACGATAGACATACTGACAACAGGAGATGTCGGCGAAGACAAAGCACGTGACACCCCGTCCCGCACCCACTACCTGCGGCCGCCGACGCCAGCCGACGCTGTGCAGCAGACCCTGGCCGGTGTGCGCCAGCAGGTCGGCCGCTCCGCCCAGCGGCTTGGTGAGCGCGCCGACCAGGCCGCGGCCGAGCCCGCCGACCAGCGCCGAAGCCGAGCGGCCGGCCAGCGCGCCCTGCAGCGGTTGGTCGGCGATGCCGGCCACGGCGCCCAGCAGCGCCAGCCCCAGGCCGGTCAGGCCCTGCGCCAGGCCGTGCGTCAGCCCCAGTGGCGCCGCGCTCCGTTGGAGCTCCGTGCGCGCCACGTGGTCGGCGTCGAGGGACAGCTGGTGCAGATTGCGCGCCAGCGCGGCGGCCAGGCCGCTGACGGAGCTGACGGCGCCGGCCGCCAGGGTCGCGCCAGGCTGGCCAGGCCGCGGCCGCAGCCGTGAACAGGCCGCCGGGGCCCGACAGCAGGCCCCGGTATGGTAGCTGCACCAGGTCACGCACGCCGGAGCTCATGGAGCGCGCCAGGCCGGCCGGGTCGCCCAGGAGGTCCAGCGACGCCACCACGCCGCCTGGCGGAGGTCAGATGCGGTCAGGGCAACCCCGGGGGATGAGCGAGAGACGGACGCTGCAGCGCCGTCAGGTCGGGGCATTGCTCAAGGGACGACCGAGGGCGGACAACACGCCACCTGCCGACACGCCGGTAGTAAGGGGGGGGGGGGGTACTGACACAGGGTCTCCCAGAAGAGCACGAACACAGCAGGACTTGTGAGATGAACGCTCTAGTACAGACAGGGCAAAACTTAAAGGCAGAGTGCCTCAGACACTCGACAAGACAGCACTGCACTGCAAATCCATTTG